ACCAAACGTCAGCCAGCAAGCCCTGGCGCCCTACTGAAAGGCAAAGGTGATGCAAACGCACCGTTTGCGTCTGCTCCGGTCTCCAGAAAGGTCAGCGGAGCCCTAGCCTCAGCGCGCAGGTATGAGGAGCCCGGCGATGACTCCGAGCCGAGCAGGTTTGCGGGCTCCGGCGACACCCTTGTGCTGCAGGATAGCGACGAGAGTTCCTCGGGGCCAGGCTGCGAGGTGCTGGTCCAGAGCGTGGTGATGCTGTGCGGGTCGTGCAGGACGGTGCTGGCGGACTCCTGGCAGGTATGCGGAGAGGACAGGAGAAAGGGCATCATCGCCTGTGCCAGTGAGTACCAGCACCGACGATCGGACCCCAGAACAGCGCTGAAACTGTTCTTAATAATACCACGGATAGTATAAAACAAGAAATAGTAGCTCCAAGTGAATTATGTTGTGGTTAATCCCTAATCTGCACAAGCGTTAAAAATGGCCATGTATCTTTCGTAAAATAATACAAAGCGTTTTGGTGAGCTGTAAATTACATTTCTCAACCGACTTGACAAAAATGGCTAGATTTGTCTATAAACGAGAAGATCAAAGTATTTTGTTAGACTGCGGCGAACTGAAAGCAGCGTATTTACTGGAGATTCTCTCTTTAAGGGATACATTAAAATATGTTTTCCAGGCCTGGAAAATGTGAAAATATATTATAAAACAACAGTGGAAGTCTTTAAATGAGAGTACGACATACTAACAGATAAATACGTTTATCCAACTGAAGATCATGCGATTTGAGAACGGTGTATTCCTAAAAACAATGAACAACCTTATGCATAAAGCGCGAGAGTGAATTATGACTGCTTTAAACAAATATGGTTTGTTGGAACATCAAGAGTTAGCATCCTACAAAATTATTAAATTTTACTTCGGTGACTTCAATAAAAGTCACTAAAGCAAAGTTTTATTATAGTTCTATAGTAGACTATATAAGGCGTTTTGGGTTACAGTGGTATGGTGTTTGGACAAAAAATCATTTATTTCAGATTTTATTACATGAATTTGAAGTCCTGACTCCTGCCAGATGTACTATGAATGTTTGCATGTTTAGTATTGAAATACTCCAAGATGTGATGTATAAATGCCACAAAAAAGCTCCAGCTGTGTAATTACATCGTATGAGTATTTTTAATGAACAAAAAGCATGAGAACTGATAATGCATTGTCCGTCATGCACACTTCTGACAAATGGACTTTCTGGAGGAAGTTTTGTACAGACATTGATTGTATTCCCACTGTCCGCTTCACTTGCATGCCATTCAGGTGATTTTTTTATTTTTACAGTCAACACGCTAGAGGTGGGTTGCAACAGCAAGCCTAGTTAACCGCACAGCTATGGTGACGTGTCCTGCTTCATGATAAACCTGCTAGGTGTAATGTCTTGAATTAGCTATCAATATTCATCCATCTTTCATCTGTCCGTTTCATGCCCATTCAGGGTTGCAGGGGAGCCGAAGCCTGTCCCAGCAGGTAAGGGGTGCGAGGCAGGGTACACTCTGGAAGGGACGCAGTGCGCACTGCAGACAGCCAGACAGTGTCCACACTCACAGCAGGGCCACGCTTCCCAGAAGCCAGTGAACCTGTTTTGTCAGAGGAAAACCAGAACACCCAGAGAAAACTCGCACTAACACAGGAAGAATGTGCAAACTCCGTGCAGATAGTAGCCCAGGTCCAGAACTGAACCCAGGGCCCCAGCACTGCGAGGGTGCAATGTTAACAGTGCCATAATGCCAACCGACATGGCTTCTGGGAAGATTGGCCCCGGTGAGTGTGTGTGCCCTGCAATGCACTGGTGGCCAGGCCAGGCCAGGCCAGGCCAGGGTGTGTCTTGTCTGCACCCATTGCTTGCAGGAATACATCCTGGCTCCCTCACGACCATGTACCAGATAACGTGATTATAACACGGATGGATAGCTTTATACACCTTTTAAATTGATTTTTAATATCTTTTATTTTCTCTCAAAACCAGGGTGTTCAAACTGTACACTTTTGTGGTTGAAAGAATTTAAATGTCAGTAAAGACCTGTTAAAATATGTGTTTTTTAAAAAAATAATAATTTTAACCAATTATGTTTCCAAACCAGAAGTAACCCACAATGTCAAGATGAAGGAAGATCTTGAACTTGGACTTGATAGCTGGCTGACCGACTGGTATGCACATTTCCAAAATATAATTTTTATTTTATTTTCTTTGGTTATATAGTGGTGTCCAACACTGTTGCAAGTTGTATGTGTATATGTATAACTGTATACATCTTAAATCATGTCCTTTTGTTCAAGTGTATGTAGGGAGTCTTTATTTTTGTCTTTAAGAAATTAAAATGTTTTTTCAGAGGTATATTGATGTTGTTCTTAATATAGAGACAGTAGATTGCAAGAAGTGGTCTCATTTAGTTGAATTCAGAGGATTTAATATTTTTTTTGTTTTTGTAACTGTATGATGTGCCTTGTGGCTTAAAAAGATGGGTAAAATAATGTGGTCCAGCTCTATATGAAGAACACAATTGGATACTACAGTAGCTTAGCAATTTAAATATACATAACTAAGAATACTGAATTGTAAACTGTGTATAGTAGTGAAAGACGCTATACAAGGAGCAAACATTTGGAGTCTCGGAGTCTCTCCGCAATCTCTCCTCCACCAGCACACTGGCAGATAGTCCTTACAGAGTTAAGTTAATTAAGTTAACTTAAATAGATGTTCTCACTCAGATACCTGCTTTCTATTGGCAGACATTGCATGCATCTGGTCTACTTGTTCAGCCTTTTAAACACAGTTGCTGAGTCCCTAAATCCAGACTGAGATACTTCACTGCCTGGGAAAGTTTAGTTTAGCCCATGCGTGCACATGGGTATCTGATATCAGATGTGCAGTTTGAGAGAGGCTCTGAAGAGGGCTCTTGTTGGGCTCAGGTTTACCAGAGATGTTGCATTTGAGCAGTGTTTCTTTTTGATTGGTCTGAATGTAGAACTTAATATGTGCTGCATTGCATCTGAGCCATAGAGGAAAGAGAATTTATACGGAATGAAGCTTCATGTCTATGTTGGTAATCATTCTGGATTGCAACCAGCATGGAAATAACTTTTATTTGGTTGCAATGTACTGTGCAAAAGCCTGACGTAAGCTTGCTGTGCACTTGTAAGAACACTCTCAGTACAGCACGTGAACAATTAAAGCCTTTGTGTTATTAGCACTAAACAGAATGAAATTAAGATTTAATCTTTTTTTTTACAGAACCCTGGTGTGTGCAATGTTATAACATATGAACTTTATTGTTATATAGATCATCAGAAGGGCTGCGAAAAGAGTCAATGGGTATAGAAAGGTTCCTTTCTTCTGCCAAGTGCCTATAGCTTTACCCAAGGGACCTGGGAGGATTGAATCGCTTCAGGATGCAACAGGATTGCAGTCAGGAGGGGTGGGTTTGTGGTTCCTGAAGTGAAGCAGTTTTACAGTGGCCTGTTCTTTTTTGTTATTGTAGTGTTTATTACAGCCTCAACTGCAGTGGCTGTAAGAGTTTTGTGGGCGTAGTTCTGCATTCGACACCTCCGGCTCTCTCTTCTTTCCGGAACCTCTTCCTTTTGATGAAGGAGCACCTCATCTGGTCAGTAAATAACACCCATTATAAGAAATTGTCCTCTCTCTGTAGGGAAGCATTTATATTCCTGAATATTTAAACCTACGTACTATGTATTTTGTTTATGCATTTTACAGGGTGTTTTTATACATTATTTACATTTCTGGTGTATTTTTTTTAAAGTTTGCTAAAGCATAGGAAACACTAAAAACGCATAATGTATCCAATTTGCTGACATTATACCACTTTCCCTACATTTTAGGATGCCATTGATATGCATGACTTTTAGACTTTTATAAGGGTATGTTTTACACATTTTTGCATTTTATTACATCTGTTTTGTGGGGAAAGTCTGGTATTTGAGATTTTGCAGACAAATTTGCGGAGTTAGACTGGCTTAGAAAAATCTTAGATGATGAAAGGTAACACATATTGCATCGGTGGGATTTCGGTGAAGGAAGCTGAGATCCTGACTGCCTAATCATTAACACCAGGTTTCAGCCCGGACCACTTCAGGTTCCCTTTTGATGTGTAAAGTGTTTTGGGAAATTCTGTGTGGAAATGTAAGGAATTATTATTGCACAAAGTTATGTAGGTTCTGTCCCAGATTATTCCACCAATTTTGAATAGGAATTAGAGCTGGCTATTGTTCTGGCCAAGGATAGAAAGAAACACTGTAAATGAAATAGATTTATGGTGCCTTTCATCCCAAAAGATTCCAAATTCTTCCCTGAAGGGAACATGAAGGAAGTCTTTATTATGTTTATTAAGCTATCGCGCAAAGCACATAACTTAGTGTATATGTTTGACAGGCGGTTTCCGATTTCTGTTGTCTGTGCCAGGATATATTCTGGATTTAGATTGATGGACACAGTGGAAAAACTTAACAGGCTTTTCAATTCATACGTTTTGACAGCAGTGTGCAGAATAGGTCAGGGCTGTGGACTTAGGACATTACTGGAAGGTTGTAGCTCTGACGGCTCCAGTAAATTGCCTACCAGTATAAATGAGAACAAATTTAAGTTGTTTTAAAAAACATCTGTCAACAAATATCATTATCAGGGATCTCAGAAGTTCTGCTCTCAGGTGGACCTTCAATATACTTTGTGAAAGATTAGTCCTCAGATGTTGCTCATTCTTCCTTATCTTTGCAGTTATATTCTGAATACTTGTGAAATTGTGAAGGGTACTGATGTGCTGTTTGACCAGCATCTCATTGGCGATGACATCTCTAAGGTAGGGCTATTAAAGATGGTTTATAATCTAAAATATAAGCTCAGATAATAAAACTTTTTTCTATCCAAAACTCATGTGCAATTACTGCTTATTCAGTGATCTGGTAAGAATGTGAAGCAAACTCTGGAAAACCGTTATTTATTTACAACAATTGAGTATCGCGGTCATCGATATTCTCACCATGTTCGCATAAGTTTTCTCCAGGTGCACTAGTTTCCTCCCACAGTCCAAACTCTTACTGGTAGGTTAATTAGCTTCCTGGAAAAATTGACCCTAGGTGTGAGAGGTGTGCCTTCTGATGGACTGATCTACCCTGCCCTGTTTCGTTTTTTGGGATGGTCTGCAACCCTGAATTGGAGGAAGTGGTTAGAATATGGATGGATTTCATAGAATAAGTTACCTAAACATTGTTGCTGATAAGTGTTTAATAGCACCTGTTTAGATCCAGTTTAAGATCCTTGATCTAACCCGCAGCTGTCCTCGTCACACTGCCTCCCTAGTTTTGGTACTTTGTCTCCATTCATACTAACTCTCATTCTCTCTGCTCCTGCCTCTTTCTCCTCTCTGCTGCACCCATGTGGTGGAGCATTGATGAAGAATTCCCAGCCTAACAAGATTAATCTTTGCCAAAACAGACTATCTTCAGCTTTATTTAATTGGCTAAAACATTAATTTCAGCTGGCACATTGGTCTGGCAGACAGTGCTGCTACCTCTCACCTCTTGGGTCCTAGGACTCGGGTACCTTCTGTGTGGTGTTTGCATGACCTGCGTTTGTGTGGGGTTTTGTCACAGTTCTCTCATTTCTTCCTACTGTCAAAAACATGCTCTGGACGTTATTGCTCTTGTATAGCTCACAAATTGCAACATGTTTGTGTATCCAGTGATGTATGTCAGGTCTGGGCTGTAGTCAGGAACAAGTGGCTTTCTGATAAGGGATGGGTGGAATCTCTGTCACTTAGATGACTTTGGGTGTGTTAACCCAAAATAGGTTTGCTTTTTTCCTTTTGGAGCAATTGTAGCTTCCGATCAAACTTCATCATATTTAGCTATGTTTATGCATGGTTTAATGTAGAGATCGGGATAAATACATGTTTAGATATTCCGCTGCTAAATGTTTTAAGTGTACAGTACCTTTCTTAAATGGCAGGAATACTAAGTCTTAAATGTATTACAAACAATCTGTCTTGTAATAGCATATGACTGCAATCATGAGCAGATAAAATAAGAAATCAAAACTTTCAATAGAAAGGTATTTAAGATTATTTAAAACAACTTTTTAAACCCCTTTAACAACCTGTTCTTTAGAATATGTACTGCTTAATAATTGCTCGTGTGCATTTCACTAGATGAAGTGATTACTCCTGTAGGCTGTGCCTTTGAACTAAATGAAAAAATGTTATTTGGGCTTTCATGTCCTGGTGCCTTCACAATCAAAAGGAGCAGGTAGCATTCAGTGCCACATGGGTTGTTTACTGATTAAATGTACATTTTGTAAATATGTCTTGAGGAATATTTAATATTGTTTCCTTTGTTTTTCCTTTTGCAGTTAAAGAGCAAGCTTATTCAGCTGCACCAACGTGTTGCGATGATAGAAGAGAAATTAGCCAGGTGTCTGAATAGATAGATCCCTGAGGTGGGCAGCCTGAAGCCAAAGGAAAAGGCATTGCATTACGCCAGTCACCCTGGAGTTCCAGGGAGTGGTGAGAGATACAAGCCATCTCTGTCAGACCGTGTTTTGGGATGCACAAATAAAGAGGCAAAGGTGCAAGTGTTTTTCACTCTGGCAAAAATCAGATTTGGGTGGTTGCAAAAACACCACACTTATTATTTTAGATTTTGTGAGGTATAATTTTGGTTGTCCAGTTTTGGATAATGTCAGACCACCACCAAATGATTTTAGTGATTTGACTGCATTAATAAGGATGTAAAATTTTTGGTTTGGTTGGGCAGATGCCTACAGCTTCTAAGCCTCTGGTTTGGTGCACACCATTGTCAAGAGCTCCAGTCCACTATGGGCATGTTCTGGCTGGATTTGTTGGTATGTTACAGTTAGCAACATGTATAAGGCTTGTAAATTGAGAGGTTCAATTTATAGTTACCTCAGTTAAGTGATGAGTGCCGTGCAGTGCAGCAAGAACCAGGGGATTCTGCTGGCCTTATGGATGGGTGTCTTACAGTTCCAGATCCACCCACTCCAGCTGTGCTTTGTAGTTTCCAGGGCACGGAGCAGCCAGGTTTTTTCATGTTTCCAGAATGGAGTAAAATAAACTATTAGCAGCTAATTGAAACAATGTAGCACAAAATTATTTTATTTTTTTAGGTTTTTAGACTACATGTTAAAGAATAGTTGCAACAAAATTGTTAAAAGAAAGTTCTGCTTCTTAATGTTATTGTTAGTGTTTTTTCCAAGTTGTTCAGACATTTGGGTTATTTCGTTGATCAGATGTTTTTAATAGTTCTGTACAACTTGATTTAAATTAACACCTGCCCATCAGGATGTCCACATTCACTTGATGCAGAGGTCTTGGTGAGTCTGAGGATTACAGTGAAGAAGAACAGTATTGTTCTTTTCTTCAGCCTCACTATATGTTGCTTCAAATTTCTAAATAACCACTATGATTGTTTATCTATGTACTGTATATTTATACGGTAAGTTGGTAAGTGACTTACCATATAAATGTAAATGGTAAGTCAGTAAGTGAATTAGTTGTGAAGTCTAATATACTTCACGGACTAATTTGTTATTAGTATCAGCCTCTGGGAAAGTCCTTCACTGGAATCCAGTAGTGTGTGATCTAGATTAAAAGGGGTTTTTGATGCTTAGTGTAGTCCTGATGAGGAAGACAACTGCAGTTGTCGTGTTACAGAAGAACCCCCTTTATAAACAAGCGGCAGTATTGGGCATGTTTATGGATAGGGACTTTGCTAAGGACTCCTCCCAAGTGGCTTAACCAGCACAGTCCTGGGTTTATGATCCAGATGTCATAAATTCCAGCCTGGGTCATGTTGCTAGCTGACTGACTGGTATTCCTCACATCTGAGGGTCAATGGCCAGGGCTCTGTTGGTGATAGGGCAACCTGTGGGGCTTCCTGGGCACTTGCAGACACAAGGTGCTGCTGGTGAGGGATACACCTCTGCTTCAGTCGGTGCTGAACCGCTAGAACAAGACTTTGATGTTTTTAAAAAAAATGAGTGGCTCAAAGGTGGACAAGTTGGAGTAGTCTTATACTGAGGTCACTTCCTTGTTCTGCTCTTTGTATGGTTGTGGGATTCGTAGACTGAAGTCAAGAGGTGAAAAATGAATTGGCGATTCTAATGTTTTAAAAAATCAAAAATAATTATCTGAAAAGATATTTCCCATCTGGCAAGTATATTTGGTAAAAAACTTTACTTTCTGACAAGCATGTATACTGTATATATTATGTATAGATTCTCTGGAAGTATGTTAAATATTTTGTACCTGTTGTTTATACCTATGCATAACCCAGTGCTGTTCCTGTTAGTTTGCATTAAGGTGGTCTGTCTCTGCAGAGATGAGTGTAGCTTGGGAACAGCAGAAGACTTGGACTTGTAATCTGTTTAAATAACTTGTAAACAAGTGTGGTCTTGAGTTGTTAATAAATATTTTCTTAAATTCGTGTCTCTTAATTGCTGTGCCATTTAAACAAGTTACAGTGTTCTGGTTATTGGAGTTTCATTTGAACAGTGGAGCCTGACATTTTAGATTAGCACCAGGATTATTTTTCTTTTGCATTAATACACAACAACCTGTGCTTAATTTAACCTTTTTTTTTAAGCTGCACTCTGGGACCTCTAGGGATATTACCAGGTTAGCAAGAAAGATTTAGTTTGCGTGTTTCATATTTAAGATATACCAAGAAAATAATTCAATAAAAAGGGAATACAATGCTAAAAAACCCATGAGCAAATTAGGGGGGAAAGACGAATCTCAACTGCACCATTTGTTAAAAGTCAGAAGACTTTGATAACT